ATTGCCCTCGACGCAAAATCTTACGTCGCCGAATAAGAAAACCCACCAAAGATCTCAGTCCGACGCTACTGGATTGTTCCAGACTATACGCCGTAGTCATTCCGGTAACTATTCACAAACTAACATGCATCTTTAAAATAGTAAATTGTAAAACAATACCGAATTATTTTTACAATGACTGTTTTAATGATCATTCAATAATACTTTTCAAAAGGTATAATAAATAAAGTAAGTCTTGGGGACCTGAGCTCTGGTCGAGCGTTTGACAACGGCTGTACCTGCTTCTATTCCTGCCAAGGTGTGGTGAACGATTTGCGAGGCCAAAAAACCGATTGTTTTTGCAACGTAAGTCATTATCTTGTCCGAAAGAGTAGCAGGCGTTGTACTTGAAGCTTTAATATGTATATATCTTTTACGCCTGCAGGCACCGCGACTCGCGCCAGAACTCGAATTTATTCAAGCTCTAATATCAATTGGTAAATTGCTCGGGACTATCCCAACAAAGGAAAGTAAAACCGTTCAATTAGTGGCGGAGCTCAATACGCTTAATTTGAATCTCCCTGCGAGGGTGTGGCTTCCTCTGCACAGTACGATACCGCATCATATCGTGCGAGTCCCGCCACAATACGCTGCCGTTCTTAACAGCAAGGACAAGGTATATATATATGTACATAGACATTTCGCGTTTCACTTTCTTAAAACTAATGCAAAAAATCGTCATTTTGATGTCTATATTGGTACTATTCTAGGCACCTTATATTATATATATGGAGGTATTAGAGGTGGAGGATTTATATACATCGCCTGTGCCGACGAAAATAATGGGCAGTTCGTTGAGGCACACTAAGTCTGAGGAAAACTTAACGGGCGGCGAGCAGTCCAACATATCCACTTCAGATAGTCAACAGAACTCGGCGGTGCGACAAACCCCCGTAAAAAATATCTCGCCTTACTCTGTTAGGAATACAGATGTGGCATTTAGTTTCCCCGATGACGATCCTAATGATTGTTGGAGTCAGGAAGACGACGAGATCACGCAGCAGGTATATACTTTGTTCGAGCGGCCTTATATATTTCTCTAATTCTAATTTCATATTCTAACTTTTCCATTTGCTTTCGTTTCAGTATTTACAGCTTCGCAAGCCAAAAGATCGGGATACCATATCGCAACTGAGTCAAGAATCGTCCGACAGCAGGGAGCCGATCTTTGTACCGGGCGACATCAAGAGAAGATTGAGCGAAATGGCAGCTACGCCGAGTGCGACTTTCAGTCACGATCCCGAGGATCCATCGGCGGCGGTCCTCAAGGAGCCCTGGGAGCAGAAGCAACGACGCATAAGAGCTTCCAGCCCGTACGGGCATTTGGCATCTTGGAGATTACTTGCGGTAATTGTGAAATGCGGCGATGATCTCAGACAAGAACTTCTCGCCTCGCAGCTGCTCTCAATGTTGCAAAAGATTTGGCAAGACGAACAAGTGCCCCTTTGGGTACGACCGTACAAGTAAGTGCGAGTTACTATTGAAACATTTCGTCTTGTGAGAAAAAAAGTCAATTGTATGCTCTTCTCTATTGAGATGAGTAATTATTAGCTGATATGTACATAATTTGTTAATATACAATATTAAATTTGCTAATATTAATATAATAATATTCAATGATTCGGCTTTTGGATGATAATTTGATTTTTGTTGCAGAATATTGTGTCTGTCCAACGACAGTGGTCTGATCGAACCTATCCTGAACACCGTCTCGCTCCACCAAGTAAAGAAGCAGTGCCAATTAACACTTTTCCAATATTTCGAACGAGAGTTCGGCCCTTCTACCTCAGAGACGTTCCGCGTGGCGCAGAGGAATTTCATTCAAAGCTGCGCCGCGTATTGCCTGGTCAGCTATCTCATTCAAGTAAAAGACCGTCACAATGGCAATATTCTGCTGCACAGCGACGGCCATCTGATTCACATAGACTTTGGATTTATTCTGTCGACCTCGCCGCGAAATCTCGGCTTCGAGACCAGCCCGTTTAAACTGACGCCGGAATTTGTTGAGGTGATGGGTGGCAATCAGTCCAAGCTCTTCGAGGAATTCAAGAGCCTCATTCTTCAAGGCTTAATTGCGGCACGGAAGCACATGGAGAAGATAGTTAATCTCGTTGAGATTATGTTGTCGGGTAAGTGGTGGGGACCGCGTTCGTACGTTTGTTCGCGCGCTCTTTCAATCCACGTACCTCGAATAGTAGGTTTCATCGATTTTTTTTCCCACAGGCTCTCAGCTTCCGTGCTTCCGCAGTGGTGGGGCGGCGACTGTTCAAGGTCTCAAGAATAGGTTCCACCTCACGTTAACGGAGGATCAATTGCGTCGACATGTTGAGGATTTAGTCGAAGGCAGCATTCACTCGTGGTCCACTAAACTCTATGATCGATATCAATATTTCGCAAACGGTACTCTTTAATATCAAGATTAACAATCTTCTCTGTCTGTGGCATTTCGGTTAAAAACTTTTTCGCGATATTAAAAGAGGGGACACCGATCCGATATATGTTGTGGTTCTTCCACAATTTTTACATACATTTAATAACTCTGTTGACCAATCGGCGGTCGCGTGCCAACCAGTAAACATATATTCAAATCAATATACGTTGGGAAAACTGTTCCGTATCACAAGTTGCGATAAAAATGCTGTAACGTTAAAAGACATGATTTAATTATGTATTGCTGTTGATTGTAATTGGCGTTAGAAATATTTCCTCAATTCTTCGGTGAACGTTTTTTGCTTAAATTGTGCTATATTTTGAGAAACAGCTTCTATTAGTTTCAATATGTAAATAAAGAATTGTAATTGCATATTAACAATTGCACGATAGCGAGGGAGGGAAACGGAAAGTTCTTTCTGGGCACGTGATCTGAAATTTCGGTTGGACAACGCTGTTTTCTAGCATTCCACAAGCACAAATGACGTTCTAGAGTGGAAAAATCGCTTTCCTTCTGAACATGTAGATAGCCTCGATTAGGCTAAACGTATAGAATTTGGATAGATTGCTATTCTTTGAGTTCGGCGTTATTCCTTGCTTTTCTGGTGGGCAAGAACGATACGAAATATTTTTAGCAGAATTCAAAGCGATCTCGATGTTTGATAAATTAAGAAACTTCGATAGATGAATGGAATATATGAATATCTTAAGAGAACATGACTTAGTTGATGGATATGAGCGCGCTTCGTTGAAAGTTAAAAATATTTATCGTCGTTTGAGAAATTAGGAGATGAAAGAAGGAAATGATCTATGAGAATTTTGGTATATCCAGTTGATTACATATATCCACTATATATACATATATATAACGTTTTTTGTTCGATACATTAAGACTGCTGTTGTTTACGTATGCCTCGATTGACAAATTGCGAATTAGCTATCGTCGCAGCGCAGACGTGACGTCATTGACTGAGCGCGTTGGACTGTTAAATCGAGTGTAGCTTATATAAAACAGCGTAATTTGTTAAAGGTGCCTTATTTGTGTAGAGAAATGTGATGGAGACGATCAAACATAGACACAGTGAAGTGACGTGTTAACGTGGCAATCTGTTAGCGTGGAGCTGATTGAGCATGGAGCGGACAATCTGTAATTTGTATATATAATAGCGAAGGAAAAGAATGGAGAGAAGCACTGCGTGGACTTTCGTAGATAATTCGCGGCAATAAAAAGTAGAGCCTACTAAATGGTAGAGCGGAATTTCGGCGAATCTCCGGCATCCCCGGGGAGGGGATTCTAACAATTCTGGCGAGTTGGCGCGAGAAGGCTACGTACAAAAAATATAGGCTCGGATATTAGCGCGGGAGGCGAATACTCAAAATATTTCCTATTTCGTAGATTAGTACTCTTCGATAAATACATCTAATTGTACACGCGGTATTAAATTAGGAACTAAGCATTATACTTATAGCGAATCTTAAGGATCACATTTGAAAGTTTTTACATGTTCTTATATTACGTAAACATTCATTCCCTCTTCCTCTTTCCCTTCCCTTCCCTTCCCTTCCCTTCCTATTAGCTGTGAATGCGAGGAGCGTTGTAGCTTGTGTACGGAAGATAATTATTTAATCGTAATTCCTCGCGTGACGTTTTACGTACATATGTCCGTTTAAGTAAATTATATAGATATATATAGATAAACTATAAAGAGATATTGTACATATATATGAAATGACAAATTTTATCACCTTATTATACTATATCAGTTAAGAATTTAATCGAGGATGAATGTTCGAAGCAAAATCAAAGTTACGGCTGGAGCCAGCCCGGAGTACCAGAGAGACCTGGGCCCTCTGACTTCCAAGTGTCTTATATCTTTCTCTCTCGCTCCCGCTGTCTCTCCTTCTCTTATCATAACCGTCTCATGATAGACAGGCAGACCAGAAATCAGGAACGAGTATAGGATGATTGAGAGAATGCGAAACTAATCCGTCGATACTTCGACACGTTGGTTGTCCCTTATTTTCCGGTTTCGGCGGGCTCTCGTAAAAATTGTATAATATATTATACGTGTAATTATAATGTGAGGGATTTTAACATTCTCGTTGTTATGCTGTGTAAGAATGATTGCGGAGGGATACGCGAAGGGGGTATCCACCCTTTCACCCCTTGGTCGATTGAACGTGCCCGAACTTACTTCCTGTTCTATCGACACGTGAAATGTCAAGATCTCTGATTTGCCTTGATCTTTCACCTCACTACAAGCTACTGATAATATCCATCATTGAATAAATACGAATGCGATAAAACAAAGAGAATTTATTTAGCACCCAACTGCCGTTTCGCGTAAATTTGTATAATCGCATATCAGTACTGGTACATTATATTATATAGTAATATATCATATAATATATATACATATATATAATGTTATGTATTATATGTAATATATATTATATAACATATTGGTATATTATACATATTATATATAATTATTTCGTATTTTATACATTCATATATATATTATTAATTTATATATATATATTATATATAACGCGTAACGAAAACGTTACTGTCTAAAATTCTTATTGTTGCTGTTAATATTCATCATTGTTCCATAGATTTGAACTTAACGGTAAACACAATCGTCGCTACAAAGATATCGTGATGCATCAGTCACGACAAAATTGTAAATTGGAACTTTTACACATTTACGTACATACCTAATACAGGCGCCTACAGAGATAGATGATAGAAATAAAGCAATAAGTATCGCGAGTATCACAATAAGTTCTTAAGTTAATGGAGATCATATGTGGAAATACAGCCTTATATTCTAGAGAGCTGCTGCAATAAGTTAGAGGGCAAGATAGCCAGCTTGTCAAGAAGATAATAAAACGGACGGGAGACCCAGGCAAGCATCGAACGGGCGACTACGCCCATGGTGTCCGGATACTGATGAGTCAACAGGGCCAACAGTGCAGTGAACGAGCACAGACCGGCGGTGAAGAGGATGAAGAAGGGCAGCTCCTTCTTCGGGTAGACACTGACGTCGTGGAACGACGGCAAGAGCTCCCGGTCGGCACATTCAGTACACGTTGGATACGGGTAAAACAGATGACCACGCTCCAGCGGATAGGGCAACATCCTGAACGTGCCTTCCCACGTACAGTGGAGTAGATTCAGGGCACCCTCTATCTGCTTCCAGTGTGCCAGGTGAAAGAACGCGTATGCAATCGCTTCGGAGTCACCACGTTTCAGCACGTGTTCAGGAGGGAGGATGAGCGGCTTCATTTCCAGGAGATACTTGGGCACATGAGGATTGAATTCTACGGCCCGGTGGATCGCCTCCACCGCCGACATCTCGGCGGTGGTCAGACCGCGTTTACTGGCGATATCGGGTGAGAACTTGTCCGCCACCAGCCGTGCCTTCAGCAGCGCCGCCGTGTAGCAAATGGTCGCCGATTTCGGCAGGCTGATGTCGTCGTACTTGGCCAGCACGGCCTGCACGTCCGCGTACGCCTGCATCTCCAGCAGGGTCTCAATCAGGTTCTCATGGATATTCAAGACATTCATGATGGGCGGTACCTCCTTTGTGAGATCGCGGAACATCTTCACCGCCTCCTTAAGCTTCCCTAATTTCCTCGCGCACATCGCTAGTCTTCTCTTGATGTAGATCAAGACATTTGTATCCCTCCTGTGTATCGCCTCGGCTATGGATCCCTGGTGTTGGGTATTCTGTGACTTCCTGTAATTGTTTTCGGCCACTTTCAAGGCTTGCTTCAGGATCTTCTCCGCCTCGACGATAGTAGTGGCCTCTTCCTCCGCGAGAAGAATATAAGCTGGCGCACAATCGGGATTACGATCGAGAGCACTGTGTGCAGCTTGTATTCTCACTACTGGATTGCGCTCTCTCCAAGCTGTTTGCATAATCTCGTACTCTGCTTTACCTGTAAAAGAAGAGTATTCTATCAGCTCATCCATCTCTTTAAATATCTTAAGAACAAAAATGACAGAATTAATGTCTCCAATTATCCAAATATTTTTGTCATTTCCAACTTAAGATTGTGTTCTAATTTATTGTCAGTGCTGAAAATATTTAGCATAGTCACATGCGTTATCAGCACTGACAGTAAATATTGAAACGCAGTCTACATTATAATGGATATTTAAATTTTTTATATAGTAAACACATGTCATAAATCAATTATGAAAAACTTAACAAAATATCAACGAGATATTTCTAAGCTAGGTTTTTTTTTTGGTACATTTGAATCGTACCAGTATCACCTTCGCAGGTAAAGAACGTCTGATGGTCCTGTGCGGACAAGTTCATGTCGTAGTACGTGAGGGGCTCCTTGTTGGTGGCCCAGTAAAATCTCTGATACTCCGCGCCTCTGAAAAGATTGATCGGATTGCGCCAGACCTTGCACTCGGGCACATTCTGGTGACTCGAGGAGCCTCCGGAGGTGAGGCTCGTACCATTGCCATCGTTGGCGCTGTCACCGCCGCCGATCCACGGCGAGATGTGGTTGAGTGACACCTGCTCGATGAACGAGGTGCCGTACTTCCTGAAGTACCACCACTCGAAGATGAGTATCAGGCCGGAGATGAGAGACGACGTACCGGTGAGGGCGACGTAGAATTTTGGGGTTAGGGTGTTCAGGAGCAGCGTCGAGTCCCACATGTTGGATATGGTGAGTAGCAGTGCCATTTATGCTCGCTCGAGGGAAAACAACTCCGCGCGCGACTCTGTTGCGATTTTCGAAGGCGAGTCGTCGCGAGGCACAAGCAGGCACAAGTGCTCCACCGCTGTTCACCACACGGCGCGCGACATCCGGAGCACGGTGGCTAACAGCAAGACTCCACGTGAGCTCTCCTCTCGTGCCGCTACTTCGTATCCGACTTCGTCCGTAAGCTCGTCCCGTACGCCGAAGATAAAATTGCTGGACGATCCGGCTATCCGACGACTCGGCACGCGTGCATCGTCACGCATCTCCCGGCGCGTAGTAAATATTTTCGACGATGCTCTGATGCTGCTCAATGCTGACAACATTCCACGCGAAACGGCCAGGTAAATTGGCTTCTTCTTCGGTCGATAAGGGGATCAAGTTGAAAAGGAAGAGGGCGCGCTGCAAGATACCGGTCTCCTTTATCAAGTCACGTTGATAAAGGAGAAATTTTCGAGTTTCTTTATTGTTGCCGACTGTCTAATTGCAGATTTAATGACGACGATAGATGGTAGCATATTAGCATGTTTTATTATACACTCGCTTTGCGTTTATTTGCTCGTCATTAGATGGCGCTGGATGGTTGATGGACTAGTGCAGCTAGTGCTCACTTTTTATGTCTTTTTCATGCTTAGTTTCTTCTCTCGTGCAATCTTTATAAGAAATATAGGAAGTATAGGAACTCATATTCAGAATGCGCTTATAATGATAGTGCGCATTTAGTATGTATGTAGTTTATGTTACATATGTATAAAAGCTCAAGACTTATTGTTAACGCGGTAACATATTGAGCGCATTCTGAATATACATATAAGCCAGGTATGACTATATCTCAAACTTTCCACTATTTTTATTCTTTAATAAAAAATAGTTTTAAATATTTGGATGTTTAGAAATTAATAAATAATAAAAAAAACAGTTTTAAGCTTTGTCTCTATACTTCGCGTGCATTTTAAATATATTTAATATATTTTACTTCATATATATTTCATCTTTTGAACTAAAAAGCTGTTTAATAATATTTAGTTAATTAAAACAATATTAATTATGATAAAAATAAAAGTATTAGATTGATACATTGAAAAAGCTATATTGCATTACAAAATCAAAAAACCTGAGGTAAATTTTTTTCTCACAGAATATCATATCACAAGGGTCAAAAACAATTTAAATTTATTCAATTTTAATTAGTATAATAAATATTATAATGTTAATGTATTAAAGATTAATTAATGCAATATATGTACATGATAATTATAATTATTAATATAATATTACATAAATGTAATAATAAATGTTAATATTTAATCCGTAAGTAGCGAGAATATTTCGAAATGTACGTGCACCAATATTGCAGGTTGCAACTTTCTTTCTGTTAATCCTCATCCAAGGACAAGAAAAATCTGTCCATCTCTGCACGAGCAGAATAGAAATGCTGAAGCTTACGAGAATGTGCGTTACGTAAGTACGAGGAAGAGTACAGATAACCGGAATAATGGAAGCGCATGGTGGACAGATAATAGGTTACTACGGACACGCGGTTATCTTACATGACGCCTCGAACGTCAGCGGATCCTTGCGCGCGCGTTCGAAGGTCTTTCTTCCTTCCCCCGAGCGCCAGCACTTCGCTCGTCCCAATAACCCACTTATCGAAGAAACGTCGAGACGTTTACCGCGCGCATACAGGACGTCTCGCGATCTTAATTCTCTAAGACGATTTTTCTTTGGCGAAAATGTCGAAACATTAATGCTCGTCGATTTGCAAACGATCAAAGCTCATTAGCGAACCAAATGGTTCTTCAGGAACTTATATGGATAATGAAACCACTCTCCTTTGGATATTATAATGTCAAGCGAATCTTAATAGAGCTTCAAGTTAAAGTTAAGCGACAAAGACAGATATGTATGTGATAAATGATGATTTCTTATGGCATGCCCGCATAAGAGAATTCAATTGTATAGTTATAATAGTCGGAGAATTTCTCGTTAAATAGAAAGCGAGTCGGAATTAAAGCTGCCTGTGGAACACTCTGTATAACGCTTTATAGTCCATTCAAAATAGAATGTTGTTGCTCGATTTCTTTTTCTGGTCGCTTCGTCAAGAAATTTCTCGTGGGAGAACTCGGTGACGCTCAATGCTCGTAATGCTATGTGATACTCACTTTTATTGTTCAGGATATTTTTGTTATCGTAAATTTGTGGAAATTCCGGCTAATGAGATGCGAATGTACAATCGGCCCCATTAAATTTTTCGTAACTTCTTTTCTAACGCGATATCAGAATCCTTTAATACGAATATTTACTTTATACTTTAATCCTAAAATTAGCTAATAAATATAGGTGATTGATTCATCCTTGGATTCCATGTGGAAAACTACTCTTAAAGCGCGCCGCGGTAATATTTCTCTCTCAGCCGTACGTCGGATGGAGAGGATTGAATTATTTGGCTAAGCCGATAAAAAGGCGGATAAAAGCGAGGCATGCAATAGTAAATAGCGATAAATGCGGAAGCGCGATAAAATGATTTTTGACGAAAGTATTTGTGTAGCTGAAAGCAGACGGGGCTTTAAAGCCGCACGTAATTTAGTAACAATCAAGGAATAATCGGTTTTACACAAGGAAATCTCTCTAGCTCAGTTTAATGCTTTTAAGATCATTCATCTTCGACTTTAATTGACTGCGGAAAATAGATCACTGACATATATTCAGATTCTCGCAGCTTGCTCGCGTTGAGACGTCATCCTCCTCCGCGACGTCTTTAACATGATAAGTGCATCTGCATTTAAATACGTTTGACTATGACTCTGAGCGTTTTCCTACCTTCTTCCCCTTCGCCTTCGAGTGACATTTTCCTGCGCGTCGACGTCGTCCTCGTTGTCGATGAAAAGATATGATTTTCACAGACGATCTCGCTTGTCGCCAATATTTCCGCCGTCGTTGCACGCATCGTCAAAGGAAAGTAAAGAAAGTCTGCGATCAGCTGCGTCGCTTCGTTTATCCCTCGAGAACGAAACGCAATACTTGGAAGCAGGTGTCGGAATAAAACAGGGAAGAAATCGCGCAATTTATTCGGCGAAAGAGGGAACGCGATCCGGGAGATGCAGCTTCGCATGGCCACGTACCTCGAAGGAAAAATGTAAAGTACCTCTTCCAAATCCTTGAATACAATAAGAATGACATAGATATACAAAATGCGAAATTCTCGTATTTTTTAATCCGAAAACGTTTAAGGAAGTTATTTGAGATGTAGTGCCTACTTATTTTTATGCTAAATATAAATATACTTTCAATTAAGCCCGATTACTCCCTCCTCTTCCACGTAATGTTCAGATTGCAAATTGTATATTGTATACGCGCGCAAAAATAAACTGTTATAATCATTATTACTGTAATCGGCAATAATAATGGATATGTATATTTTCCCGAAAGAAAAAGGGAAATTTCTTTGTGTATAATACGCCGCCATCCTTTTCCACACGCGTACTCTTTCTCGAGCTCCGTACCTCCGTATAGTGGTACAGTCGATCGGTGGGTCGGTCACTGAACCGCCGCCTCCTGTAACCGCCGCCGTCTCGTCCCATTCCGTCCCATCCCACCGCCGGCCTCCGCGCCGCGCCGATCGAGCCGGTACCGTTAGGATCTCGCCACGATTCGCCTGGAAGCAGACAACGTGGAAAAGCAAGCCGGAACTGCGCTTATATCGCCCCCTCCTCCTTCTCTTCCTCACGGATTTCGTGGATCCGGCTATGGAAATTTTCCGTTCGATTCTTGACTCTAGAAATCGGGATTTCGATTAGCGCAATTAAAAAATTCACATCTATATCGCGGATATGATCGCCGAATTCTCTCAGCACCACTTCGCGCTCGCACAGAACGGATTCGAAAATCGGTCTCTTGTATAGTGATTTTGACGAGCGAAATAGGCACTTCGCCCATGCTCTTATCCTTCAACTAAATCCATGAAAAATCATTCTAATCTACTTTGTGGGTATTTTAGACCTGAGACTTCTTTTTTCGTTGTATATTCCGCAAATTTCAATAAATTTTAATTAATTTTTTTTTAACGCCAAATTCTATAGAATCCAAATCTGTAAGCGAAAAAAAAGGTTTTGATAACAATGTTAAACGTTATGTCTAAAAACAAGAATTTTATTAAAAAATGTGAAAGAGTGCTTTGTTCTACAAATCTTCATGAATCATCATATCTTCATGAAAAAAAATTAAGTACCGTTAGAAAGAGAAAATTATGAATTTTAAAAAGAAAAATACATTATAACGTTTGGGTTCAAAAAATATAATTATATTTTTATTCAATGAATAAAGTTGAAGTATCTTAAAACGCATGCTTGAAAATATCAGAGGAATATTTAAAAAAAATATGAGAAAAATAAAGTTATAAATATAATTATAATATTATAACATTATAATATTATAGCACAAGTAATGTTTATTAAGGGGTTATATATATATACACTTGCAGCGCGAAAGATGACGACATTTTCACGATTTTTTTTTCGACAGCAAAATAAAAATTTATTTAAAAACTATTAATGGTATCATTTAGTACATGTTTTGGAGTACATGTCAAATTTTTTTTGTTAGAAAATATTTTAAAATGGCGGAACTGCAGCTGTTGCCCTGGAGCGCCTAGTTTTCAGCGGTGGACAAGATTACTCGAGAACGGAT